AGAGAACAACCCTAAACCCTAAACCCTAAACCCTAAACCCTAAACCCTAAACCCTAAACCCTAAACCCTAAACCCTAAACCGGGTTCAGGGTTTAGGGTTTAGGGTTTAGGGTTTAGGGTTTCAGGACCCTACTCCCCAAGCCCCTAGACCTCTGAACGCTAAGCCTCGCCATCCTTCCCGGACCCTAAACAAAAACCTATCTTTCAAGGGTTCATGATAACGTTTAGGGTTTAGAGTTTAGGGGTTTAGGGTTTAGGGTTTAGGGTTTAGAAGCCCTAAACCCCGAAACCCCTAAACCCCAACCCCTAAGCCCTAAGCCCTAAACCGCTAAAGCCCGAAAGCCTACGATTACTGACTGCCTTCTACAGTAGGAGCGAGAAAGTTGGGACATCATTATCCTCATGCCCTGAAGGTAAAGTAGAAGGGCTTCTATGTAGGGGCCTGAATAACTAGAATAGGCTTTTTCTTGCGGGTTTAGGGTTTAAGGATTAAGGGCTTAGGGTTTAAGGGTGAAGGCTTAAGACTTTAGGGTTTAGGGACAGCTTTTGTATATTGGGCCCCAAAACACTATTCTAATTATTGAGGTCCCTAAACCCTAAACCCTAAACCCTAAACCCTAAACCCTAAACCCTCCTATAGTATTGCCATGAAAAAACCCTGGGCCCCCACACTCCCGAGCAATGAACTTGAAAGGGTTTAGGGTTTAAGGTTTTACCCCAAAAGCCTACAAAACTAAAACCCTAGAAATCTAAAGCCCTAGAGCTTTGAACCCTAAACTTTAAACTCTGAAGCACTAAACCCTATAAAACCCTAAACTTTAAACTTTGAACTTAAATACTACAGCCCCAAAACCTTATAAACCTTATAAACCTTATAAACCTTAAACCTTAAGCTTAAACTCTAAAACCTTATAAACCTTACTTAAACTTTATAAACCTTAAGCTTAAACAGAAACCTTAAACTATAAACTTTAAACAATAAACCCTAAACCCAACACCCAAGCTCCCAGTCAAGTCGAGTTGCGCAGCCTCCCGGTCTGGCGACCTCACAAAGGCGCCGCCCTAAAATGCTTTCTAGTGGTCCTTTAGGGTTTAGGGTTTAGTGGTTTTAGGGTTTCTTTAGGGTTTAGGTGTTGGAGGGTTTTTTTTAGGGATTCGGGTTTTAGGGTTCCTTTAGGGTTTAAGGTTTAGGGGCTTGAGGGTTCTTTTAGGGATTCGGGCTTAGGGGTTTGAGGGTTCCTTTTGGGATTAGGGATTTAGGGTTCCTTTAGGTTTAGGGTTTAGGTTTTAGGGGTTTTAGGGTGTAGGGTTTATTGGTTTGAGGGTTCCTTTAGGGATTAGGGTTTTTGGGTTCCTTTAGGGTTTAGGGTTGAGGGCTCCTTCAGGGTTTTCGGGTTTGGGGGGTTGAGCGTTCCTTCAGGGTTTAAGGTTTGGGGTTTTAGGGTTCCTTTAGGGGGTTTTAGGCTTCTTTTATTTAGGACCTTCAGGCCGTGGGTTTAGGGTTTGAGCGTTCCAAGGTAGGGCATTCGATGCACCTATCAAAGTTCTGTTCTTGCAGCCTGCAAAGAGGTCGCTCCACAACAGTGCTGCATCACGCTGTCCTAGTAAAACACGTAGAAGCAACAAACCTTCTGTCCTGTAATCCATCGGCTGACTGGCCAGTGCCCGTGCTGGCACCGCCGCCGCTGCATAAGTGAGCGGCGCCGACTGTGTGTAGCGCTCCACCGCCGCGCTGGCCCAGCGACCCAGGAGCCTGCTCCTCCTGCTCACGCTGAGCCGCCAAACTTTTGCCGGCAGTCCTTCCGTCGTGGAAGCGAGGGCTGGACTTTTGCGAGTCCGAGGAATCTTCTTCGTTCTCCGGGTAGTATACTCGTACTCGTCGTCCTCGCTGCTCAGGGAGACTCTGCGATACCCTTCGGCTTCACGAGGCACAGCACTTCGGCGGGGCCTCGTCCTTTGGGTCTTTTTTTTCTTGCAGCTGGATCAACGCCACGTGTTTTTGGTGATGCCAGACTTAGACATACGGCTTGTACGGCTCTACTTACCCAGGGGTTCAAGACAGCCTCTAGGAATCAAGGCCTTCCCGAATAACCCTAATACTGCAGTTTAAAACCTGACCGATCACTCGCCAGACACGAGTGAAACGTCTGAGTCTAAATGCGGCGGACTTGCCACAGTCATGAAGGACAACTACCAGCAGCGTCTGAATGGAACTGTCACGATCATCATTGAGATTAACGTGCGTATCACCATGATCGGACCATCACCAATGTGATCAGCAGCAGCGCCGCCATCATTGTCATATTGTCGCCATGATACAGCTGTCTGACGACAGCCATGACGGTGATTTATGCCGGAGATACAGGTGACGACCACGACAAGGAAGATAATGATATCGGTAATGTAGATGATGGTGGTGCTGATGGTTAAACCCTAAACTCTAAACCGGTTAACTGCTAGATCAGGTGGGTTTAGTGTTGTAGACCTTCGGCTTGTGAGCTTCTTGCAGCAATAAGCAACCCTGCCCCGCAACAACAAAAGCAAGCATGTGTATACATTCATATACGTTCTGTATTCTATATACCCACAAAAACTTTAGTATCAACTAAAGACCTTACGCACACTGACCAAACTTGTAACACATGCACTCTCCCTGATCCATATAATGGGCCACTGCATTATGAAAGCTGTAATACACAAGCCCAAAGATCGCAGCTCACTACATAGGTTTGTGGGCTAGCACATCATGACAAAGCTGACACTTCCGGCTATCACCACCAGGACCTATGCTTGATATTGACACAAGCGCGCTTGAACCTGATTAGACCGCTCCTGCTAACTCCCACAAACACCTGCGTCTAGATTACGAATACGAACCAATGGCTTCTGAATGAGGTTCCGACATATTACATAGCTGCTTGTGGAAATGTGCGACGCTGCTCAACACCTCGAAGAAAAGATATCGAACCTGATCATACAACATCCGCGCCTGAAGTGGCCCGGCTTTGGCTATGTCCTTTGGCAAGCTTAAGTACCAGCGATCCTGATTCATAGAGACCTTATTATTGGAGGGTCCGTACAAGGGCGTTGTCAGCATTATTACCAGGCTTCCACGACAGATTCAGCCGGGGTTTTTGGAAAATAGTGAGAAGGGCATTTGGGTCGTCGAATCGGGTAGAGTAGGGTCTTGAAACATATCATGCGAGGGACTCCAACGGGTAATGCAGGGCAGCAGCGATGCGCGGACTAAAACTGGATATTATTCCGAATTCAGCACAATTCAAGCCGTCATATTTATTTCAGTTCATGGTCCTTTAATCTCGGGTCCCCTTGTATGGATCCCCAACATTGAATGAGTATGTAACTATTGTGATGAGTACCCGAATGGGATGCGGACAGCTTTCCACTTGCCAACACGGTATAAACAAGGGATTCCATATTGAGACTTCGTAATGCCTTAGAGGTTCAAGTACATCGTAGCCAAAAACTCCCTAAGAGACTAAACAGCAAATACTAGGATTGGATGATAACGCCTAAACTGTAAACCCTAAACCCCTGAACCCTAAACCGCTTATGGAAAAGCCCCCCAAGGTTTGTAGGTTCCCCTCAGCCGCCCTACACCCTAAGCCCTAAACCCTCCCTAAACCCATTAAGCCCTAAACCACCCATGTATGCACCCTAAACCTTTTTGTTAAGGGACAATAGGAGGGACCCCTGGAAGGGACCGCTAATCCTAGTACTCTATATAACCCTTACATAGCCCTTATATAGTCTCATACGGCCCCTACATAACCCCCAGGGTCCCTTTAAGGGTCCCTCCTTCAGTCCATTGATTTCCTCTGATGGAACTTTGGGGGTCGGGCATTAAGGTTTCGGGTGTCGGGTTTAGGGTTTCGGGTGTCGGGTTTAGGGCTTTATGGCTTTGAGATTTCTGGTTCCCCGTTGGGGCTATAATATTACAAATGATCATTTCCAATCCTTATTGGGCTTTTAATATAACAAAGAAGTAAATTTGTATCTAACAAGGACCCAGATTTGGCGATGTGAGGCTTGGGGCTTTCGAGTTTGAAGGCTCAGGGCTTGAGAAATCTGTAATATTAGGTAGGCCTTAATTATAAAATAGGGTTTTGGGGGGCTAATAAATATACTACGGAACCCCCCCCAGTTGTATAGGTAATTATTTCAGCCCCTATATTATGGCTGTTGAGGAAGTCTACAGGGTTTGACCCTAAACCCTAAACCGTCGGAGGGGGCAGCGCTTCAAGGCAGAGAGTTTCGCCCTAGAAGTTCCAGGAACGCAGCGCAGATCTGAGGTGTATCTGACCCTAACCCCTAGGGGCTCTAGTACCCTACAAGCACCTGGGGGGGTCAGAGTGAATCTGGCGACTGGAGAGAAAGGTCCTGAACCCTCAGCACCGGAAAGTTTTCCCTGAACCCTCCTGAACCCTCAGCACTGGCAAAGATTCCCTGAACCCTCTACTAATTTAATTGAAGCCATAAAACCGCTAGACTGTACAGCACCCCAAACCATAGTTACCCTAAGCCCTGACGAGAGAGTTCAGCCCTTAACCTTCTGGTGAACCTCATAGCTAGTTGCCCCTGTTGTAACCCTCAGAGTGCAAGTGCCCAATAATCATATACTCTCCCAAATAGTAACCTCGATAACTACTATCCGCAACCAAGGTACCTTATGCTAGGGTCCTTTGGACCCTTAGGGTAACCCGGAAAGGAGTCAGGGGTCCTTAGTTGCTGAGTTCATAAGCCCCAAAAAGCGTACATGTCAACTTTCAGCTTTAATCCCAAAAATGTATAAAATGTACGTACTCAGCTATTAAGGGTCTGATGCCGACGGGAACATTGAAAGCCGGGTCCGAGTACTCGAGAATGGCGTGGATCTGCCAGCTTCAACATCATCTGTCGAAGCTGTCGAAGTCGCAGCTGGCAGCGCTGCTGGATCAGCTATCGAAGTCGCAGCTGGCAACGATGCTGGTTCACCTATCGAAGTCGCAGCTGGCAACGATGCTGGGTCATCTGTCGAAGGCTTGCAAGCAGCCGGGACTGGTCGGACGGAGAACGGCTTGCCACCAGCCTCGCCACCAGTGCCGGATCCGGCCACTTGGTGTCTCCTCGCCATCCTTGACCAAGTATACTATGGATGCCCATGATCATCATCATCATCCATCTTGCAGCGGCACCACACGATAGCCATCGTGAAAGAACTGGCGTTGCCGGACGTCTCCCGATAACTTCGATCAGAGCAAGCCAGAACTTGGTGCCTCAGATTCAGTTTTGAAGTGGAAGACCTGGAAGTAACCCTTTATAGTCTCCTTGTATGTTGGCCCTCCGGTAGTCCTTACTTGGAGGGTCGGGAAACTTGGTAAGTAGATAATAAGTAGAGTTATATGTACCCTAAGAGGCATCCAAAGTGGGGTTATGATACTTATGACTCGATAAGATAACCACTTACTATTCCCCCGACCCTCCAAACACCTTCAAGGTAGCTCCTTGAGTGACCCCAGCTGCTCGATGGCTTCAAGGGCCTGGACATCACGTTTGAAAGGGGGCCAATTAATTAGAATAAGGTTTTCGGTAGAGGGTGGGCGGGGGGGTTGAGGCTCCAAAAAAGTGCAAATATTTAGGCGAGGTAACTTCGGAGTAGTAGTCAAGGATAGTAATTTGGGGAGTGTGAATGCCCGCTTTGGCTCCTTATAGAATCAAAATGGATCACTACCGGAACTGGGCTAGACACAACTATGGCTCGGTAGGGTCACCGCCAATGTGTACTTGGAGGATCATGCGACCTAGTAAGTAAGGTTATAAGTCCCTTAATTGGGGTCATAAGTAAATATAAGTATGGTTACTTTTATTATAACCCTACTTACTAAGTCCCATGATCCTTTAAGTGGTATAATTGCAACCAGGCCCCAAAACCGTAAGTTGCAAGCAAAGCACAGGCTTCGAGACTGCTGCGAAAGCCGAAGACCACGCAAATACCCCCTCATGCCGTACCCCCGCCCCTAGACGCTGAACCCTACATCCCAAACCCTACGATGTGATAACTATACGCCTTCATGCACAACTCTAAACCCCAAAGCCTAGACTTTGAAGTTACCAGGGAGAAAGAAAGCAAAGACCTTAATTTCATAATGGATCCCTTAAGGAACAGGTCCAAAAATAAGTATTCAAGTATGGTACTCTAAGCCCCAAAGCTTGGTAGCTAGAAGTTCGGGACCCCAGACTTGGGCCATGGGTTCCCTGGAAGGGTCTAGGGTTTAGGGTTAGGGTTTAGGGTTTAGGGTTTAGGGTTTAGGGTTTAGGGTTTAGGGTTTAGGGTTTAGGGTTTAGGGTTTAGGGTTTGGGGGGTTCCCTTGAAGGGTTCATTAACCCTAAACCCTTCTTGAGGGTAGCATAAAGGCTTCGGGATATGTAGGGTATATGGGTCCATGTACACAAACAGAATGCACACTCGCCCGGCTAAGGGTTTAGGGTTTAAAATGGACTCCGGCCCCAAGGTGCTGATATAGGCACAACCTTAAGGCCAAAGTATATACTACCTGAAGGACGAAACGAACCCTACAAGGGCTTCAGGTTCCTTTACTAAATTTACCCTTCAGGGATAGTATAAGGGTATAGGGTTTAGGGTTTAGGGTTTTAGGGTTTAGGGTTTAGGGTTTAGGGTTTAAGGGTATAGGGCCCCTACTTGTAAGGGTCATTTCGTCCTTACGGTATTCGGCTACATGGACCCTTAGGTATCCGCAGGCAGCCTGACACTCACAAATAATGCACCTTCAATCACATTAATTGACCCTTCCGTAAGTTGGGGGGCTTTCGGGTTTAGGGTTTCGGGCTTAAGGGAATTATTAGAAACCCTGAACCCACAGAGGAAACCTCAAAAAGACAAACAAACCCTTGCAAACAATCAACCCAGGAAGCCCTTATGAAACTCGTAAACAAGCCTTGCAACACCCGGATTGGGCCTCATGGTCTAGGATGAACCCTAACCCGCAAGCCCCTAAGCCCAAGCAAAACCCTGAACCCAACCGCACTGAACAAAACGGCAACAAGCAAAGCAGAAAAAACAGCCCTAAACCCTACCTGTGACCCAAAAAGCCTACCTACCTTCTCCTGGAACTATATATATAGAAACCATAGCCAGAAACCCTAACGAAGGTAGGGTTTTTGTTGGGCTAAACCCCAAACCCTAAACCCTAACCCTAAAGTTGCTGGCAAGAGGCCGATCGGAAGCCCTCGCTCCCGAAGCTGAACATGAGCTTCTTCAGCCTCGGATTCAGGTTTAGGATTTAGGGGCTTTGGGTTTAGGGTTTTTAAGGTTTAGGGGTTTAGGGGCTTAGGGGTTTAGGGTTTTAGGGTTTTGGAGTTTAGGGTTTAGGCATTTTGAAAAGAACCGCTTCACACAACCACGCTGAAGATCTGTGAGCCGTGCCGATTGCACAAAGAACACAAAGGTACATCTGCCCTCATATATATACATATATATATATATATGTATATATATTTGCATATATTTATATGTATGTATAGATACACATAGGTATTATAAAAAGAGACCGTAAAATACATCTATATAAGTGTGTATATATATATATACACGCACATACTTGTTCTCGGTGTGCAGCCAGGCCCTAACCCCAAAAACCTTCAACCTTGTGCCTGGGTTCTGCTCTCCTGGACAAGGGCCCGTGGTTCCGGGCAGGTGCACTTTACAGCGGGCTTTGCCTGCTTGAGTGTTGCTGGTTCATCATTACCCATAGACCCCATAGTAGTATCCTTTTTGGGATTACCCTGTAGGATCCTAAATATAAGCCACAAGAAGGAACTACTATGAGGCCTATGGGTAGTTTAGGGTTTTGGGCTTTTCGGGCTTTGAGATTCGGTTGTGGGTGCTGGCCCTCGTTCTTGAACTGCGCTGCTGCTGCTGCTGCTGCTACGCAGAGGGTGGCAGAGGAGGCCCCGAACAGGTCGTCGTCGGCAACGGTTTGAATTTCAGGTCTTACTGGGTCTGCTGCTGAAGCCCTGTGATCATACTCGTAAGCGCTATCCTGTTGCAGCCGAAGGCGAAGAAAAAACAAGCAAATCCCAGTATAGAAGGTTATGCTCCTGACATGTAGCAGCAGTGCATTTACCATCCTTAAATCCTACAAGACCTAAATCGAAAAACGTTGAACCCAGGTTCGACGCACTTCGAGAGAACCACCCAGGTTATTGCCGACCCTCGAGGCTGCGATTTTGGTGTGCCTACAGCGGCATGACGTGGAAGGTGCAACCCAAAGGGTCCAAGTACCCAAATTGTATGATGTTCGATCCCAAAAGTACATAACCACTTTGAAGGGTTTCTGGCACCTAAAGGCCTAGTATTTGGGCATCTCAGTCAGCCAGCGCCTGTCCCAAAGGATCCTAAGCACATATATAGTGGAAAGTCAGGCTTCTGTAGTAGGAATCACTATTTTGCTTTGGGCCAGTCCCCTGAAGCCTAAACCCCATAAACCCTACAGCCTAAACCCATAAGCACTCAGGAACCCTAAACCCTAAACCCTAAACCTCTGAAGCCCTAAACCCTACACCCCTAAATCCTATAAACCCTAAACCCCAAGCCCCAAACCCTAAACCCTGAACCCTAATACCCTAAAGCCCTACACACTAAACCCTAAGACCACGACCCCGAACCCTAAAACCC